CTGAGGATCCCCCGCTGTCTGGCACTGCATCCGTTAGGTGTGCTTCAGTAACAATGATGAGGTCATGACTAGTCACAAAAGACTTGATTCCGGCATGGTCAAGCTTAAAAACTCCTGCCTCCAACAACCCATGGACATTCCACAACAAAACCCTCAACCCTCTTGGCCCTCGGCTCGTGCTATCCTAGTCATCCACTTCCGCGGGTAGGCCTGCAAACCGGTTAGCAATAGTGGGCTTGCCAGCCTGGTCATACGGTCGGTGATCAGCTCTGCTGCTGGGCCCTGCACATCCCTCCCTGCTTCTAGTTGTCCCTTCATCGACCCCCAGACCTTGCTGGCCGGTCTCACCATGGCCGTCTCGATCCTGGTCCTTGGAACTCCTCCGCCCTGAGGTGGTAATGAAGCCGTCAATATCCATGGTGCGGCCGGCGGCAGAGCTGGGCCTCGGGTCACGGGGTGCTGGCGCCTGGTTGTGGTACCGGTCGAGCCTACTAGGTGATGCTGAGTATGTGAGCCCGTATACTGGTTCTGTCCGTGGGTGTTTGCCGCCTTTCGCTTTGATGGCACTCAGCGAAGCCACGGGTGCTTCACGATTCTTCACCCCTAGCTGCTTTCTGTAAGACGGTGGGGCCGGTGGTGGGGCGGCTGGTGACGGTGCCATCGGCTTGGGAGGTGGTGGTGGTGGTGGCGGTGGTGGTGGTGGCGGCATGCTGCCACCGGCGGCGGCACTACCGCTACCAGTAGCGCCAACTCCGCCGGCACAGCCCCTGAAAGGCATATTTACGTCGTCATCGTTCTCGGCATCCATCTCTCCACCCTCTCCACTGTCGCTGTCGTCGTCACCGTACTGGCTTGGGTAGGGCACCGGTGCGCTCCCGTTCGGGCTCTTCTTATAAAACAGTTCGGCCCCGTTGCGCCACATGGGGATCCACTGCTTCGCTTTTATCACCTGCCACATGGGCCGCAACCTGGATCTTTCCGCCCGCCCTTCCTTGGTGAGCGAGTCATCTACCCGGAGACCCAACCTTTTCAGGTCAGGTGCGGCTTTAAAGAATTTTACCCGGTCCTTCCACCGGATATCAATAAGCCAGCTCTTTGTGCTGCGATCTGGCCTCTCAGTGCGAGTGAGAAGGCCGATATCAAGCACATGCAGCCCCAGCTCGGCGAGGCAGGCCCGGACGCTGCCCTCATCCTTGTTCTTGTCCGTCGTGATAACGACGCTGTCCCAATAGAAAAACTTATTACTGCTAATTAGTCCGCGGGCATCCATCGTGATGCCGCTCGGGTCGGTTTCCAGTTTGCTGACCCGGCCCTGGAGATCGATGATCTCCACGCGTGAGAGCTGTTGCTCATTTTTAAGATCTAGCACCTGGTCCCCGAGCTTCCTGAAGTCCCCGTAGAGGGCTAAGAGCATGCCAGCAGTGATAGGACCATCGGGATTGCCCCGCGCTCTTGCCAGGTACTCTGTGTAACTGTTATCCATTCTGTATTGCAATTCGAGGTCGGATTATACCGGAAATTTAACAAGGAAGGACCACGGGCGTTGGCGGCTTGCAGCACTGTTGGTTCTATACTATGTGCATTTCTATTTCTATTTCTATTTCTATTTCTATTTCTATTTCGGTATCCATGTGGGTGTGTGTGTGTTACATGTAGCTTTATAGCCTCTTAACACACCAAGACCATGTAACGACAACTTTTCTAAAAAAATACCGGCGGTGGCGGTGGTTGTAGTAGCTGGCCTCTGAAAAGGCCTCTCGAGATGCTGGCGGTCGCGCTTAGCACGTATTTGTATAGCCGTGCTGTGTACCAGCTACTACAGCGGTGGTACTGGTGGTAATAGTGGCGCTGGGCGGTGGTCACGAAGTCCGGCTGCATCCGGATGACCCAGCACTGCCCGAGTCCAAAGACCCACACCCACAACCAAGGGAAATATCAGGCCTCACAGACATCAGCCGCCTGCCTTCCTATCGCCTTCGCGCCAAGAGCAGCCCAGCTGTTGCTCTGCTAGGCGTGTAACCGGGGGGACGCTTATACCAAAAGTGAGAGGTCTGAGGGAACGGAATGAGAGAATATTGAAATATTATATATTCATGCCTCGTACAGAACCCTATGGTGTTGTATTTTGCTACCGTTTGCTCTTTGTTTGTCTATGCCTTGCGGCGACGGTCCATAGCAGGCCCAGCAACCTTTGAATATATCAAACGACCCCAATTCTATATAGGAAGCTGTTTTACGTCAAATCTTTGAAATATTTCTCTGAGATACGAAGTGTCGGAAACTGAATCGGCACAAGCAAGGCTCAAAAGCATAGTTTCCATCCACGCACATGCTACCTATTTCCATAAGTTATTGTTATTCGAACAATTATAATTTTGATTTCGCGAGCTCTCCGAGCTATTGCCTTTTCCACATTTCCGAAGTCCATGGACCGAAGCCCGGCGCACGATAGGTAACAGCATGCAAATCTTCATTCGTATTGGTGTTTCTAGCACTTAAGAGCTAACCTGAGTTATTGTCATGGCCCTCTGCGACGGAACCCACTACTGTACTTGCAAGGGCCGGCGACTTTAGTATGCAGCCTGTTGAGCGAATCTGGAGAGAGATCCATTAACATGTTAGTTTGAGGGCAATGATGAAGATTTGCTTTGTTATAGCGTGGGCGGTGTGTTCTTGGGGCTCAGCGGGGTCCCTTCAGGACACATGCAACGCAGTGCCACGACTACGTACAATAGTAGCTTTCCTGAAATCTGTCCCAAGCTATTAGTTTATTTCTGTTTCTGAAATAGTTGGCCTCACCCCAAGATAGATAGACACCAAGGCAGGGAAGTCTTAAGTTAGGAAGCAAGGCCCTCAGGGCAAAAAGGCTTATTGCTTGCTTGCTCGATATCAAGCATCAAGCAAGCCGAACTGCCCTTGCCCATCTTAATCATATGTTTATGCCTATTCACATGTAACTAAGCGCTATATAACGGTGCGACAGATTGTTCCCAGCCTCTGCTCCTAAGACACACGTTGCTCTCAGCGAGCCATCTACTTTGAGTCCCGGGATTTTTCCTGATTTCTTGTTCACAAATAACACAAACTATCGTTTTAGCTGTATGATTTTATTCGCCTCATTTGCGACGGCGGACTCATGCGGGGGATGACTGCGACGTGCTGGCCAGGCATGGCCAAAAGCGCGTCGTCGGACCGGCTTGTGAGAGTCATGAACGAATGACAAGGTACTAGTCAATCGGTGATCTGGCGGACTAGGTGCTGAATCATGTAGTGTTGGGCCGTTGTGGAACTGTTTTGCGAAAAGGAAGCTCGCTTCAAGCTGCGGCCAACTAGCTTTCCTCCATATTCTGTCAGTTTTCATGAGTAGTTGCCTTACCGCTTATAGACGTGAGTCGGGCTTGGGTACCTGCGAGCAGAAGAGTGTGCTTGCTTCCGTGGGAGGAGGCGAGCCTGGTTACCGACTGCGCTATCTGCCGCGGGGCGGTGTAATGGGCAGACGACGCAGTGGAAACCTGTCAGTACTGACTATATTAACTCGCGAAATTGCTCTTTCCGTCGCGCTCTCCGCGACTTGCCCTACTTTCTCACCAGTACGGCCCCGCCGTACCACCAACGAACAGCCGAGTACGCTCTCGGCAAATACACAGAAAACCTTGGTTTTCTTTCGTTGCTCTCAGAAAACCTACAGAGATCTATAGCATCGGTGTTGTCTCCGCTCCGCGCGGTTGCTCAGTTCAGCCTTGCCCAACTGCGCTTCTCCCCGCCCAGTGCCATTGTCCCAAATCACCGCATGTTTTGCTTGGACCTCCACACTGTGTCTGTATGAGAGGGTGTAACGAGCCCAGACGAGCCAAAAGCCCAAGAGCCTTGATACCGCAAGCTAGGTACGGAGCATGTAAACGCTACATAGGAAGCAAGGGCATTAGGGGAAGCATGGTCGCTGCTGGAGCATTTTTGGGGCCGCCGACGCCGATGCCGCACAGCACTGTAGCTGCTACCGCTGTTTTCAGTGCTACCACTACCTCGTCCTTTGTCCCAACGATTACAGGCACCTATTGCGACAGCCGGATCTGCAACAGCCGCATGCATGCAGATGCTGCAGCCTCAAGGCAACGTGGCCTCCGCCTCACACACAACGTTGAATTATTTCGCTAATAAAGGGGGCCACGCTGTACCCGTAGGGAGGTTCGTGCCGTGGCCTTGTGCATGCCAGTGCCTTAGACCACTTCACGGGATAAACCCCACTCCGGCCCAATCCTGCCTAAGCGGCGGTAATTTGGACCAGCTGCCGTTACTCTACCGGCCGCCGCTCACACACTCGGAGAAGCTCACTCCACTCCGGCCCTCCTTTCCACCTATATTTATCCACGCAGATATCTTCGAGGCTTCGTTGTCCTTGGATGCATGGGTGGACGGCTGTGAACTTGGAAGCCCAATACCATTGGGAAGTGACCTGCCCGCTGCAACCTAGCTTCCAGCAGATATAGTGGTACGACGGTCAAGCAAATCGCGGCTCAAAGTAGGTACATGTACACTTACTGTGTCAGCACAAGTGCGGGGTCCGTCAGAGCCGGGGACCCCGTGGACCGTTAGTGAAAACGTTACGGTGTGGGGGGCGATTATCGTCATCCTCCCATTCCCGCCGAAGCGCAAAGCGTAGGAACGCTGTCTCCCAACCTAGAGATAAAGGAAATAATAAAAGACAGGTAATGCCGGCGGGGCCCCCTCGGTCATAACGGTGCGCATGTTGCGCCCTTGAAACTCGAGTCCACGCCCATAACCAGCCCTCAAGTCATCATAAGCGGGGCATTTCCCAAGCGCATGCTGTTCGTTTTCCACCGCTCCGAAGTTACAAAGCCTGCAGGTACGTGAGGCGCACTCATCACGGTCGTTGGGCCTATTGGCCTCTAATCCTTAACAGCACAACCTATAGCTCATCAGTCTTTGGTGCAATCGCTGGGGGAAGGGGGCGTCCGCGTGAGCAAGCTACCCAGGGCGCGCTCCATCACAGCGGTGTCCTCATTCAATGATGGTAACGGCACGCCTTGACCCCGGCGGCCCCGGTGGGGCCCCCCCTTGGGTTCACCCAAGGTGTTCTCGCACGTCCAGCCTCTTTGCATAGGTAGGCATTGATCGCGGCTGTTGCAATTGTCATCTCTGTGAGTCAGCAGGTCCATGACAAGGCCAGTGATGACCAGGGACGGCGGTTGGGAAGTCAGGGGACATGGAGCGCTCAAGCAGTGTTGCCATTAGTCTGCTGGCGCTGCTGCCGCTGGGCCCGGAGCTGTGGAATCTGCAGCCCCAAGATGTGCTACATGCACGAACTTGTACTGGTTCATTCTCTCCTAGTATGCAGGGGCAGCAACTGAATCAGGTGCGGCATTTGCTAGTGAAGGATATGCGATAGTGGCGTTAAAGGAAACGACCTCGCAACAAGGAGTCCATATGCTGACATGGCGTGTCGGTATATGGGGGCTTCGGGCCCTTCCCGTCGGTGATAATGAAAGAAGCACTGGAGCCAGCAGGGTGACGGCGTAAGGCTGCCAGGGCCAGAGGCACGACTAATAACGTGATGTGATGGCAGCGGCAGTGTTAATGGCGGCGGCCGCACGGTGGCCGGACTGCAGCAATGGGCCTATGGGTCACTCGGTGGCGGCAGCAGCAGCGGCAGCAGTTCGGGTGGCAGCAGCAGCAGTTCGGGTGGCAGCATGCAAAAGTGGTAGCTTTAACAGTTGAGTGGTAGCAGCAGTGGCAGATACAACAGCAGCAACGGCAGTAGCATCAACAGCAGTAGCGGCAGCAGTGGCAGCGTCACAGGCTTGGCGTGTGCGGGGTCTGCGAGGGTAGCACTTGTAACACCAGGTAGAGTACTTGGGGGAGATACTCGCCGGCCTGATGATGGAGATATTCAACGGAGTTGGATCCCTTCGACAGTTACGGTGAAGGGGCAGTCCAACTAGGTATCAGCGGGGGTGGGCCAAAACCGTATCTTGGGGGCTTTGTAGCAAGGAACGAGGGCTCCGTGTGTATGTGTTTGGGGATGGGGTAAGGAAGGTAAGGGGGAGAGGAGATAGAGGGCGACTCGTGGGCCATTGGCCAACGGGATATGCTTGCGGGTAAGGGCGCTGCCGTAAGTCGCAGCAACATGGAGCAACATAATATGCTGCTGTTGGTGGGCCTGGTGTGTCGCTGTCCTCAAAATGTCCGCAAAGCCCCACCCCATTAACAACCCCGTAACAGCGCCCATGCATGGGAGGGTTGCGGTTACTGGGGCCGGCAAACAGGCTCGTGCCTATCTAGGCGCTAAGCCAGACCAGGGCAGGCTTATCGGCAACCATATAGGACGTGGGGACAGGACAGCTGCCTGGGACCTCCTAGGACGCCCTTGCCTCGGCACGGGAGAGTTGGCGATGCGGATTGGCAGGGAAATGACCGACACCGGGCGTCACCTTCGAGGCTGCGCCCACCTTCCTTGTAGGCCTTCTGTACTGCCGATAACTAGGGAAATTCATATATATAGCCAATGATCATATCCCGAGATTACAAGCCGATCTCTATTCGCCACTTTTCAATGAAATTAATGCAATTCTTCTGCTTTGTGAGTATTTTGATCAGATAGTTATCAGCAGAGGTGGTGAGTTTGCTGCAGGGGTCTACACACTGTCGTCGTATCGTCAGGGCCGCCATTACTCGCTTCCCCTTGCCCTTACATCTGAAGGCGCCTTGACGTATACATCCGGCTTTTGAGAACAGGTATTGAGATCCATGTACTACATGGTATGGCTCCAGGCGCAGGTTCTGCGTCCTGTAAATCCTATCACTTCCTGCAACACCACCGCCACCGCTGCTGCAGCTGCCGGCTGCGTCGACAATCAACCGTAAAGCCTTCTCGTCGTGAGTTGAGACCAGGCCGGGATGGAGCAAGACGAATTGAGCTGCAACCGTAAGCTGGGGACGGGACCCATGCCTCATTCGTATTAATTACCATAAACCCACGGCGGGGCCTCATGAAAGAGGAAAGGGTTGGCGGGCTGGGGACAAATCCATAATAGGATACACCCTTTGGGCGGTTGCCCTCTCACTGGCCGTTCATTATCAGCATATACTATGCTAAGCACAGACATAAAGCTATGTAGCCATCCTGTACACCTCAAGACACACCGTACACATGCATACGGTAATCTTGGTGACCCATATGGGTAAGGGTATCGAGACCCCAGAACACGATTGCTGCGATGTCCAACACCTGTGCCGCCAGTAGCCCCGCCTTCTATGCTGCCAAGAAGTGCTGTTTGCTCTTGGACCTCTGTCCCGGCTCACGTCTCCTGCAGATCCCCGTCGGATCCCACAAATGGACCTCCCACTGCTGTTGGCGTTACGGTGCATGTGAGGGGAGGGGTAGCGGCCCCCGCCCAGTCCCCTCCTGGCCCCTTACCCTGCTTGCCGCTACCTGTCCCCTCTAATGCGCCGTAACGCCAACAAGTGGGAGGCCCATTTGTGGGATCCACGGGGATGTGTGACACGGTCGAGACGGGACAGAGGTCCTAGGGCAAACAGCACTTCCTGGCAGCATACAAGACGGAGCTCCTGGCGGCGCAGGTGTTTGACATCGCAGCCATCGTGTTCTGGGGTTCTGATACATTTACCCATGTGGTAGGATTACCGAATGTATGTGAATGTAAGTGTGTCAGCTTGGAACAGGTAACTGTCATGTCAACAAGTATGATGGTCCCAAACACATAGACGATGCACCTGCACCTGTCTTCCGGACCAAATTTCACATCCTCCCGCCATCCCATCCCATACTTCCCTACTGCACCGTATCTGGACCCGTTCTTCTTACTACTTTCCAACTCTTCCATACCCCGCTTCTTTTCCCCATGCCACCCGCCACCCGCCCCCCTTCCAGTCGTTTCCATTGCTGGAGGTGCAGAGGCTGTAGGACGTCTTACCACCGGTCCAGCCGCTGCAGGGACTCCCGCTGGGGGCCCGTGTGCCGGTCACCACCGCGGTGGCGGTTCTACAGGTGCCAGCAGGCTTGCAACCCGTTGTGGAATCCCTTGCGAACATGCTGGTAGCCGCGTCGTGGAGCCCCTGCGCTGGCCCAGCCGCTGCCAGCCTTGGAGAAGCAGCCCACAGAGGCGGCCGTCGCGGCGGTGGTGCCACAGCCAGCAGCTGCGGCACTTGACGATATTAATCCTGACCAAGGTTTTTAGACTTTTTGCGTGATGTATTGGATGGGTCAGTGTGGGAGCTCCCCATGCCGATCGACCCCACCGAGGGCCTGCGTTCTACTCCCACACGGACCCATCCATTACCTCGCGCAACGAACTCCCATGAAATCTTGGTCAGGAGTAATGTCATCAAGTGCCCCAGCTGCTGGCTGTGGCACCACCGCCGCGACTGCCGCCTCTGTGGGCTGCTGTGGTAGCGCAGCCTCCAAGGCTGGCCGCGGCATTACGGCTGGGCCAGCGCACGGGCTCCACGACGCGGCCACCAGCATGACGTAAGGGACGCCACAACGATATTGCAGGCCTGCTGGCACCTGTAGAACCGCCACCGCGGTGGTGACCGGCACACGGGCCTCTAGCGGGAGTCCCTGCAGCGGCTGGACCGATGGTAAGACGTCCTGCAGCCTCTGCACCTCCAACAACGGAGACGACTGGAAGGGTGGCGGGGGGCGGGGGGCGGGGTATGGAAGGATGGGAAAATAGTAGGAAAAACAGGATCCCAGATACGATGAGCTAAGGAGATAAGGGGCGGGACGGTGGAGAGTAATAGGGCAGATATCCTAGTCACATCTTTCGCATCGTGGCTGTGTCGTAATTCGTTATGGTTGCGTTGGCAGCAGGACTTTGTGTCTGTACTTACTGCTCCAACATGGCTAAGCAGGGGGATGATCCCTGTGTGGCTCGGTTAATACGTCCATCTGTTCGGCGCTCCTATACGAAGAGTTAATGCTTCTGCCAGGTTGTTCTGATACATCAGGTAGAATGCTGGCATATGTGGGGATGCTGTGCTACTGAAAATGCGTTCCTGTTCTTGAGGTGCACGTAGGTTGGCTGGGTAGTTTGCGGCGGGGTACGGTAAATAGTAGCTGATGCATGTGACGGGAGGTTCGTAGGGGTTGGCAATAGCGTGTTAGCTAGGAGAGTGGGATGTGGCGCATTGACTCCGCTCCCCTTCGACTCATCATATATGTCGTCGGTACGCAGTAATATTAGCATGGTTGCGGAGCCAACTAACGTTTTATGTTTTTCGTTCGGGCACCGAAGTTATGACGACCTCGTGTAAGGCGTACGGTGAACACGGCTCACATGCCTGAGAAGTCTGGGATCTTCATGATACTGAAACACCACAATACCAACCGTATATAACAGTAGTGTTTTATTGCATAGCTAGCATGAGAAGTATGCGTGCGAGTAGGTGAGTTGTAGCACGAGAAACTGAGGCGTTGAGGACGTTGAAAGTGTTGAGGTTGTTCACATGTTACTAGCCAGTGTACAACCTGCCAGAGTCGGTTGCAGTGGTGTCACGTCATATTTCCTGGCGGCTGAATGCGGACCTCGCACTCTAGGGTAAACGTTGTTCTGTAAAATGCGCGGTTCTCCGTGGTCGCTCCACGGACTCAATCATGACGTCTAAATGCAATCATCATAGATTCGTTCCGCAGTGCGTTGGTGTCGTCAACCCGCTGACACAGGGGCGCATGTGGTTTGGACGGTGAGTAAAAGCAGTGACAATACCTTAAAAAAGCATGTATAATGTTAAGTGAAAAAAGCGGTAGTGTGCGCGCACTAAGCTCCGTCCCATCTCATCGTCAAAAATAGTAATGTCACCACTAATAGGACCTACCGTTCGATACTCCGGCAGATAGACGAGCTAGATCCTAGAAGCCTCGGCAAGCAGGGTTGGCGTAATGTGCCGTCTAAATGGCAGCTTTTTGTTGTAAATTATAAATACATAATAATTATCTGGTTCCGCATAAGTTGTAAAAATTTAAGGGAGAGGCAATCGTAAACCTTCTAGCCCGAGGCAGAAGATTGTGCGTGTATGGGGACTTTCGCGTGGCCTTGGCAAATACTTGGGGGGAACTTTATCTATGTCCGAGGGGGAAGCGACGGAGAACTGCATAGCATCAACCGATGCCGCGCCTCGGGGTACCTCGCCGCGCCTTGATCACCTCGGGGTATGTCGCCCTCGAGGGATGCCTGTTTAGGTGTGCCTAGGAATGCCTGGGCTGCCTAGCTAGGCAACTTAAGTATTTCATCGAACAGTACAAGATTTCTGCCACCAACCAAGCATAGGACCGAGCGATAAGACCCTTTCCTTGTCTCCCCATCCCATGATCGTATCTACGTGAGGGGAACTTATGCTCATAAAAGCTGGTGACCAGTCATTGATAAGGCATAAGTACATGTTCCCAAGCTAGACGAAATACGAGTAGATTTAGTACCTTTCCGTATCATCTCCAGGTGTAACACTACTCGCAACCTTAGTGTTTTAGGCAATATCTTTAATCAATCGCCTGCGGATGGAGCCTGTGCCGTCGAATGGATTCATTCAGAGCCTCGGTCTTGACCCTTCTGTCTCCCCGCCCAATGACACCACTCCCCCTGAGCGTCCGCTGCCAGCAGTAGCAGTGCCGACCTCAAGTCGTAACGCACCCCCAGTGCGCGGTACAGCCACCAAACGCAGTTGCCATCGCCGCCGCGGGGGTAGCTCCACTAACAAGAGGCGGGGAAAGGCGTCCACCACCACCAGGGCCGGCAACCGCTCTTCTGGTAATGTCGGTAGCAACCATCTCGACCACGGCCATGGCGGCGGCCTTGAAGGCGATGACCCCGTCAATGCGACGACGATGGAGAACACCGTCAACAGCCAGACACGTAGAACGGACAGTGGTCCAATAAATAAGAGCTCTCAGTTCAAGGGCGTTAGCTGGTAGGTGATACATATCCTCCATCCCTACCCACTCCATTCCATCTCGCTAGCTAACTACGTATGTATCCCAGCAGCCATGTCCAACCTCCCATCATCCCAATCCTGCCATCCGGCCACCACTCTGGCGTCATCCCTCATGAAGCGAGGCATAATTACATGCGCGTATATGTAGGGCCACGCGCGGCTCACCACCTAGTGTTGCGGCATTTCATGCACCCAGTCCCCTCCTGGCCTCGCCGAAACCGCCCCAATCCCTAACCTTGCAGGCACAAGAACACAAAGAAATGGGAGGCTCACCTGTGGGACCCAACAGTGCCTCGCAAGAAGGACCATCCAGGAAAGAGGAACAGGGGAAAGCAGTACTACCTGGGAGCATACAAGACCGAGCGGATGGCGGCCCGGGCGTTCGATATCGCCGCAATCGTATTCTGGGGTCTCGATACCACAATTAATGTGAGTCATTAGGTTACTTTATCGCATGGTTTGTGAAGATATAATATAGGATAGATGTCTTTATGTAATTAGCTACATAACATGCTCATGCGATCTAAGATGACGCGAATGGCTACCCATCAAGCATATGTGCTTGGTCCGGCGGGGAAAGTCGATATTCCCAACTGACAGATTGATGTATATGTACGGTATACAGGCATGTACTTACCTTCCTGCCTTCCGCACCCCTTCATTCACACGCTGTGCCGCGATGATACTCTGTGCAGTACGGTAGTTTTTATAAATATGGTTCCGAAATTAAACAGCTGCATGTCGGCGCATCTTGACGCAGTTTCCGAGGGAGGACTACATCGCGGATTTGGGGTCCCTATCCCAGCTGGACAGGGAGGAGGTGGGCCCTATGCTGCAGTGCCTAAGTCGCAGCTTCAACGAGAAAGGCCAGTTCGGAGACTTTGGAGGAGACAATGTGATAAGGAGGATCAGCAATCTGCTTGCCACGGCCTATCTGGTGAGCGGTGAAGCGTGAGCCAGTAGTGGGTTGGTGGCTCACTCGGTGGGTTAGTATCCATTCCCCGGCTCTCCACCCTTTCCCTTTCAATAATAATCGCAACAACGGGTTGCGGATATGGACCACATGATTAATGCATGGGTAGGAAACGATGTTGTCCTGAGTTTGTGGCTACATAAAGCCCTTCATTAATACACATGCATGTTTCGTTCCTCATCTCGACCCTTACCAACCACACCATATCTGAACTGCTGCTGTTTCTTAAATTTCCCGTCCCTCACCCGCCATCCGCCACCCGCCACCCAATCCTCTTCCAGTCGTCTCCGTTGTTGGAGGTGCAGGGGCTTCAGGACGCCTTGCCACCGGTCCAGCCGCTGCAGGGACTTCCGCTGGCTGCTGGGCGTGTGCCGGTCACCACCGCGGTGGCGGTTCTACAGGCACCAGGTTTGCAACCCGTTGTCGTGTCGCTTGCTGACCTGCTGGTGGCCGCGTCGTGGAGCCCCTGCACCGGCCAAGCCTCAGTACTGCTGCCAGCCTTGGTGACGCTGCCATCACAGCAACCCACAGAGGCGGCAGTTGCGGTGGTGGCGCCACAGCCAGCAGCTGTGGCTCTCGGTGACGTGGACCCTGACCAAGACTTCTTAGACTTTTTACGAAATGTGTTCGATGAGTGACACTGATTGGCTGTGCCGGTAGCTGTGTGTGTGGCTGCATGGCTGGCTCTTTCAGAGTATATCACTAAGTGGGTGCGTGAATGAAGTGGCTGGCTTGGTGTTCATATTGCGGTTTGCGTTATTATGTGTGTGCAGTTGCTGCTGCTGTACAACGAGACTTGTATGCATGCGTTCACGTCGACGAATTTAGTTGTTGCCATGCAGGGTGCGCTTTTGGGGTATGCTTTCATGCATGTGCTAGGTCGTGTGTGTATGTGTGTATGTGTATATGTGTATATGTGTATATGTGTGTATGTGTGTATGTGTGTATGTGTGTATGTGTGTATGTGTGTATGTGTGTATGTGTGTATGTGTGTATGTGTGTATGTGTGTATGTGTGTATGTGTGTATGTGTGTATGTGTGTATGTGTGTATGTGTGTATGTGTGTATGTGTGTATGTGTGTATGTGTGTATGTGTGTATGTGTGTATGTGTGTATGTGTGTATGTGTGTATGTGTGTATGTGTGTATGTGTGTATGTGTGTATGTGTGTATGTGTGTATGTGTGTATGTGTATGTGTGTATGTGTGTATGTGTGTATGTGTGTATGTGTGTATGTGTGTATGTGCGTATGTGTGTATGTGTGTATGTGTGTATGTGTGTATGTGTGTATGTGCGTATGTGTGTATGTGTGTATGTGTATATATGTGTGAAGGTTACAAGCATCTGACCGGGCCTGGGAGGGGCCCCGGATGGGAGATGGGCGCGAGGGGTTTTTGCTCCCGCCTAGTAGCCGAGAGCCACAGGTCCGTGCGTGTGTGTGCGTGTGCATGTGTGTGTATGTGGACGAAAACGATAGCGGGCCGAGGGCGTGCGCGCAAAGGTGCTGCCTAGCGTTGAGATCTTCATAGGTAAGAGGTATGAATGTAGGATGGTATTAGGTGCATGCTGACCATAGCGACCGACTATTATTATGTTATTGTGTGGACACGGATGTTTTTAGGTTAGTGTGTCTGACAGCAGTCTGAGTGTCGGTGCAGTACTGCATCAGCGCCATAGTATGTCTGTTAGCTCGGTTAGGTAGGCGGCCGGTGACGTGTATCGAGTGCTGTGATGCTTAGATTTGCTGATCTACTTGTTAGTCTGTCCTTCGTACTTTCTTACAGTACTTCGTATCAATTTGGACTGCTTAGTAAGTCCGTACTGTGCATTTGTTTACAGTACTTCGTAAATATTCGAACTACTCGGTACTTGGTACTTGGTACTACGTCTGAAGTCGTTGATACATGTTACTTCAAATTGGTTTAAAAGACTTGGTATTCGGGCACTAAGCGCATCGGATGCAACTTATCTGTAACATAATGCTAAGTGATCTACTAAGCGGTCTCTTAAGCATGTTACCAGGTAGCTATGAAGGACATATGAAGTGACTAGCATTACGATGATCCCAAGAAGGTATTAATAAGTGGCGGCGTTCCTGGAGTGCTGTGTGTATCCGTTACATATCGATCCGGACTTGATGCTGGCCAGGGACACCTAATTGTAGCTTAGATGCGGCAGGAACGAAACGAGTATAGCCTCTAAGCTAACGGCAGCCGTACAGCTTGCCGAATTTGTTACTTCAGTTAACAGCTCCGTAGTTCCGGCATTCTGCCTACACTATTGGAGCTTAATGTTGCCCTTTCACTTCCCTCCTCCTCCCGCCCTCAGTGTCCCTCGTTTACAAGCGGCAGGCTCGGCCTAGTTAGAGACCTGGTGATTGGGCAGTCCACTCGGAACGCCAGACGCACCACTGTACAGCTATCACCGCTCGGCCACAGCGCCTTTAGAGTATCGCTGCGCGCTAGGAATGTTGCCTGGCCAGCCCTGCTGGCCTGGGTGCGGTTCGTGTGTCGCTGATGCTTCAGGTTTGCCCTCGGGGCGGGTGTCAGGTGGACGCAGTCATTAATGCTGCGTTTAGTCGTCTAGTGCTGTGCGTCAGTTCTTTCGGCCGTGCCGGTGTGGCCGCGCTGGACAGCGCTGCGTGCACTCAGACCGCGCCGTGTGGCGCTAGACCGCGCTTCGGCGCACACGCGCCCTGGCGCTCCGAGAGCCGCAGTACTGCAGACGTGTAAGGCCACAGCTTGGCAGCCCCGGTTCCGCCTCACCCTGTCCTATCCGGCACCTCGAATGTAAGCGTACAACAAGCCATGAAGGCTATAGGACATAATCAAGGATTGCCTCTGGTTTGTGTTGCACTTCTGACTAACCACCTGTCATCCAGCCAGTAATCCGTCACGTCTTTGGTGCAGCTTTGGAATCGCTTCACTACTGTAACATCAAAAACACCCCAACCCCAAGCTGCAATATCCAGAATTGTCATCCTGCCGATATGCATGCATACCCAACGAACACATCCTGAAGTCGGATGGGGTGGACGGATTAGGGTGCCCCTCTAGCAGGGGAGAGCAGGGAACTGCCTCGGGAAAGGGGGCCGCTGGTGAAGCTATACCACCCTGTAACAACATACATACACGCTTTTATCAGCTTCTAACAGCAGCGGTGCATATGACAGAATGTCACGACGCGTTCATACACAGGCTAACGTGGGCTAACCCGATCAGCAGCCACCAGCGCTAGAGCGATGACGCACAAGATCACAACACCCCTGGTGGCGGCACTCCGAAGTACCGCTGCATCACGAGGGTGAGCTCATGCAGCCACAGCGAGATACAAAGTATCCCTACCAACATCACAGACCGCATCCACGACCTGGATCCATCCAAGCCTACACTAGCTATCAAATCTCGCCCTTCCAGAAACGAAGACAACATCTGCTGACACCAACGTGAATGAGAAGCTGTACAACGCAATCCTTCACAGCTGTACAACCCAGCCCACACATGGCGAGCATACATAATCGAATATGGGGCACCCCGGGGCTCAGAGTTCAAAGCTCGTGAGTCTCACAGCGGCAACAAACCGCTGCATGCAACAAGCGCAAACCATGGTGCCCCGATGCCCTGCCTAACGGAGCTAGGCAGGCTCCAAGGTCAGAATAGTAAGAGTGAAAGCTTCATGGAAAGGTGGAGGGACCCTTCAAAAAGGTAGCGATGAGGGAGCAGACAAAGGTGTTTGCACGGCGAGTATGCATGTTGTACAGATTGTGGATTCCAAGAGAGATCATCACACGTTACAGTGGGTACCTGCGAGCTCTTGAAGTCAGTCTTCGGTAGGTAGGTAGGCCTTGTGGAGGCTCCAGCAATCGCAAGGTTACCAATTGGGCCTGGACACCTATCGCCTCACAGCAGCAACAGCGACCTAACGTAGCTACGAAACCCGAAAATTACTCTTTCTAGCACCCAAGGGTGACTGCCTTTACCGGCATCACGTGCCGTACAAGCGCGCACAACTCACTCTTCTGAGTTGACAGAAAACCTTGGTTTCCTGTCGTTACTCTTAGAAAACCTTTAGGTATTTCTTAATCCCAGTAGTGCGATGTATTGCGAAGGGAGCCCGAAAGAGACATGGAGTAAGTGCAAGGCTGTCATCAGGCGACACAACATTCATGCACGACAGGTTACAGATGACGAAAGCGTTACTTCAGGTTCAGAAGGTTCGCAAGGTCAGCTGGTCATCCGCTACCATCACATCCTTCTTAGTCTGAGACACCTGAAACCCGACAGAAAACCCCCGCATGTGCATTACGTGCTGGAGCAGTCCAAGATTACATGCCTGTCGCCTTCCACGCTTGGAGTTCGCAAAACTCCATCCGATCAACTGCTCGCGCGCGATTCCCCCATAAGCTCTGTTTGCTTTTAGCATCTCAGCAACTCTTAACTGCTCAAGAAGATGCATTAGCAACCGATGCATATCGACAGGAATAAACCTATTGCCATGCAGCAAACAGCTTGGCCTGGCGTCGAACGGGGTCAAACGACAACTCGGCCCAGTGTGTAAGACCAGGGAAACATTATGTTTAGCGATCTTTATGCCAGGCTGCTGTACGTCCGAAGGGAAAATCATGTAGCCGTTCAGACAGCCTCTCGTCGTTCCATGACATGTACTGTTGACGGAGCTAATAAGGGATTTGGCCTGCCCGGGTTGGGTCTTCGGGTGCTCCTTGATATGGGCTATGGGATTTCCCCTATGCCGGCCTGGATCGTGACGGCATCGACAACTGCTGCCTCTACTTCCTGACGCACATATTGATGATGCCTTGGCGGGGCATTGCCCGGCTGCTCCTGTCGTTGGCAGTCTTCATCGCCGTAGCCGCGGCTGACACCACAGGAATGACCCATGGGTCCGTCCCCATACTGCCGCTGCCGCCGCCGCCGCCGCCGGCGATAGCGGCCATGCGTCCGCCGCTGCCGCCTACGTCAGTACCGCTGACATCGACACCGCGACGCCATTGACGCCGGCAGCAATACATGCAGGCGCCACATTCGGTATCCCCTCCACTGTCGCCGCCGGCGGCCCTGGCCGAGAGCCCTGCCAATGTGCCAGCCTGGCAACTCAGAGCGAGAACCCAACGACGAACGACTCAACGACCAAGCTAACCAACGTAACCTACATCTGCTGATGTTGCATCGACCAGTCAAGCATTAACGCCATCCCGGAAGCCCACGGGCAGCGGGCAGCGGGCAGTCATTGCCGCACATCTTGCGAATCCAAGCCTCCCAGGGATCTTGCGGATGGTACTGAACTGCTCCGCGGTACCGGGGCACGGCACGGATACGTTGGTCCTTGAGCATGAAGGCCAGATCCTTCTTGTTGAGCGGGGGCAGGGACTTCATCTCATCGTAGTCGTCCCGTGGGAACTGCAGTAGGTGTGTAAACACAGATTGGGCCATGGGCGCTGTCATGTCGTCTAATTTGAGGCAATATCTTGTACAGCATAGTTAAGTAATGCATTTGCGCACGTGAATGTGTGTATGCATATACAACTTCTGTGTATTCCGCATATGTGCTTTTGCGCGACATGTGCATGGCATTCTATGCGTATGTACGGGGTTTGTTATTTAGAAGAGGGCAGGGTCAGTAAGGTATAGAGTAACAGCTAGAAAGACAGCTTTAACATAAAGCAAGGGCTAGTGTCCACACACGTTTTTCAAGTGTCGTAAAGAGCACGTCCGTACATTCACACTCAATAACGCAAGCTTTAGCATGTTGTACCTTTACACACGTGCACCAATGTATCACCCCACATACACCCACGTTGGTAAAGCTCTCAGGACCACCGATCAAGATACTCGCGATGTCGTGCGCTCGTGCGGCCGCCACCTCCGTGGTGAACACCCCCAGGTAGATCTGGGCACCCTTTTTCCGGCTGATCCCTGGTGCGCCCTTCTTCCGGGCCCCGTGCTTGTCCCACACGTGGGCTTCCCACTTCTCTCCCCTCTTAGGCCTGAGGGCAGGGTGCAGGTTGAGAGACAAAGGGGGGAAAGACAAACCACGAGCGAGTGAAGCTGATGCCAAGGAAAGACTGACTGCTGCGGCATACGTAAAGAAAGAATACCTAACCAGTCGGCGGTTGTGAAGAAGACAAAGGGGGGCCCCGGGGGAGGGAGGGGGGAGATGTGGTGGCTGGGAAGTCGCTGCATGGTGAACACCCACGTAGTCCACCGCCTGTCTGTGATTAAGGCTGCAGTAGGTATGCATGACGACATATTGGGGGGGGGTGCGTGGGGTGCGTGGTGAGCTGGACTGGACTGGGATGAAGGAGGAGGTGGGAGGAAAGCATAGAAAGGACAGAAGGGGAAAGTGTTATGGCCGCCTTTGCGATGTGTAGCTAGGATGGCCATAACGTTCCACTAAACGTCCGTCACAATACTAATAGCAAGGCGCAATGCTATCTGGGCTCATTCACGCGCACGGACCACCGCACGAAACGAGAGCTGCTGTGAAATCCGAAGTTGTGTACTCAGTTCGGGCTCCCTACTGCAGAGGCACTGCTGCCACTTACTTAGTAACACCCCGATATTCAGAGGTCACACCGCCATTCTTTTTCCGAGCCTTCTTGCCGCCGCCGCTGGTGCTTTGGATTTTGCGCGCGCTTTTGCTCGCGCTCTCATCGTCACTGCTGTCGGCGTCATCACCGTCACCGCCACTGCTGCCGCCATCACCATCATCATCATCATCATTATGAGCGCCTTCACGGCCAACATTGCCAGCACCGCCGCCGTTTCCGGCCCCGGAGGTGGTGGGTCCAGTACACAGCGCAACCCGTGGGGCCGCGTCAGGTACGGAAACGGCGGTAGTGGCGCCACTACCAGCGGCGGCGGCGGCGGCGGCGGCGGCCGCGGCACCAAAAGCGCTCCAGGGGCCTGGCTCCCATTGTGGTCCTTCATAGGGTTCAATTGTGGGTGCCGTGCAAATGGGCAAGTGAGGGTGAGCGTATTACGTGTTATTAAGCCAATCCCTAACCAAGCCAACAATCCAAAGTATAAAGTCAGCGTAGACGGCCAATACGTACAAGAAGGAAGATAAAGTGCCTTCAATTACTAACGCGCTGGCTGCGAGCAAACGCTTGTGTGCGCGCCTTACCTGCGAACCTCTCCATGAAGCTGTCACGTCCAGCGCTACTGGAGAAGCCATTTACGTTGGACGAGTAGGTTCGGTCAACCGGGGAGCCATGGACGCGGCCGTCTTCGAGGAGAAGTTCGAAATCCGATGGCAGTTGTAGCAGATACATGCCCTGCTGCTGCTGCTGCGACTGGTTACTACCGATCTGCCGTTGTTTCTGGTAGGGATCGAGGTAAAGCTGGTGCTGCAGCGGCGGCTGGTCGTGCTGCGGCGGCTGGTGGTGGTGGTGCGGCGGCTGGTCGTGCTGCGGCGGCTGGTGGTGGTGGTGCGGCGGCTGGTGCTGGTGTGGCGGCGGCTGGTGCTGGTGTGGCGGCGGCTGGTGCTGGTGTGGCGGCGGCTGGTGCTGGTGCAGCGGCGGCTGGTGGTGGTGCTGCTGGTGCTGGTGGTGGTGCTGCTGCTGGTGGTGGTGCTGCTGGTGGTGGTGGTGCTGCTGGTGGTGGTGCTGCTGGTGGTGGTGCTGCTGGTGCTGCTGGTGCTGCTGCTGGTGCTGCTGCTGGTGGTGCTGGTGGTGCTGCTGGTGCTGCTGCTGCTGGTGCTGCTGCTGGTGCTGTTGGTGCTGCTGCTGGTGCTGCTGCTGGTGGTGCTGCTGCTGGTGCTGCTGGTGCTGCTGGTGCTGCTGGTGCTGCTGGTGCTGCTGCTGGTGCTGCTGGTGCTGCTGGTGCTGCTGGTGCTGGTGGTGCTGCTGGTGCTGGTGGTGCTGGTGGTGCTGGTGGTGGTGCTGCTGCTGGTGGTGCTGCTGCTGGTGCTGGTGGTGGTGGTGGTGCTGCTGCTGGTGCTGCTGCTGCTGGTGCTGGTGGTGGTGGTGGTGCTGCTGCTGGTGCTGGTGGTGCTGCTGCTGGTGCTGCTGGTGGTGCTGCTGGTGGTGCTGCTGGTGGTGCTGGTGGTGGTGCTGCTGCTGGGAAAACTGTTGCTGGTAATGATACTGCTGATGACCATGCTGATGGTTCTGCTGGTGGGGTTGGAGTGATGGCCCGGGCAGCATCGGTGGGGCCCCTGCGGTACACCGGGCCGTAGGAAAGGTACCCAAATCGCTGGTAGTGCGGCATCCCGGTTCAAAAAAGGAGCCCGCCTCAGAGGCCATCATATGGCCGCTGCCACCGCTGCCATTCTCGCACAGTCGCATCGCACCACTGGTTGCTTCAGTGAGAGGCCTGCATGGCGTGTGAACGGGTCCGGAGGAGGCGCTAGGAACGTTTCCCGAAGACAACAGGTTGAGGCCCGTACTTCCTCCATACGGCTGTGCGTTTCGGTCGAGTTTCGGATCGGTGTACGACAACTGTCCGACGTGGCGGCAGCGGTAATGATCGTCAAACGGTTGAACCAGGCGCTGTTGTTGCTGCAGCGACGGCATCGGCATCGGTGTCGGTCGTAGCGACGTCAGCTGCGTCTGCCACATCGACATTGTCCGTGAGTGCTGTGCTGTCGGCAACAAAAGGTTTTCCACTTGTACACCTTGAGCCGGGGAATAGCTTTGATGCGGATTGTAGCGGTTAAAGAGGTGTGCCTCCCCTCCCGTCGCCTGTGCCGTTGCCGTTGCAGGCCGCTGCCCCGGGGCACAGCCGCGGCCGCCATCGCCAAAGCCACCGCCAAAGCCCCAAGCCCCCATGGCGCCCGCCGGCTGCCCATTTTGCCCCGCCGTATAGCCCGGTGGCGGGCTGGCGGCGGCGGCGGACCTTGTCGCCGTCGGCCCAGGACGGTGAAGGGACGCAGCAGGAGGTGCGTTGGTTTGATGCGCCGTGGAGGGGCCCTGTGGAAAATGGTATAGGACAAGAAAGGCCGTGACAGTCGTTAGGCTGGGGAGATGGAGGAAGTACGACATGAAATGCTCGACATCTGCGACGCCGCTGCCGCCGCCAGCGCAGCAGGTGCGCGGCCGTGGACCCACACGTGACTTGGCAGAACGTGGTGCTGTGAAATGCTCAGTTACGCAACACGCACGCCGCAATCAAGCACATTACCCAGCAGAACATCTTCCTCTGGTCCTGCTGACATGATAGCCACGTCGTTACGCAACCAACAGTAGAGAGCCTTTCTTAGACGAAATACCTCTTAATTAAGGAAAGCAATAACTTCAACACGCAAATGGCTTACAGGAACCTGCTGACTACTGGGTGTTCATAGCATGAGACCCGATGGATAGGAATATGGCTCGTGTGCATCATCAGACAGAGGACGCAGGGCCTCGGAGGCTACTCACAGGGTCAGAGGAGGCGCCGCCGCCACCCAAGCCGCCGCCGCCCAAGCCGTCGCCACCCAAGCCGCCGCCACCCAAGCCGCCGCCACCCAAGCCGCCGCCACCCAAGCCGCCGCCACCCAAGCCGCCGCCACCCAAGCCGCCGCCACCCAAGCCGCCGCCACCCAAGCCGCCGCCACCCAAGCCGCCGCCACCCAAGCCGCCGCCACCCAAGCCGCCGCCACCCAAGCCGCCGCCACCCAAGCCGCCGCCACCCAAGCCGCCGCCACCCAAGCCGCCGCCACCCAAGCCGCCGCCACCCAAGCCGCCGCCACCCAAGCCGCCGCCTACCAAGGCGTCCATGAGCTGCTGCCATTCCTCATCCGACGAGTCGTCGTCTGCAAGCCCGTCGTACGGAAAATGAATCGTGGATCCGTCGATCATTGGGTCGAAGACCATAACGATAAAGGCCGCCAAGTCCTGTGTCGTCCTGTATTGAGGATTGAGGCCAAAAGGAAACGAAGAAGGGAGGGGCGCAGCTTTGTGTGCGGGTAAGGGCACCTTGTAAGGTAAGATGATTGGTTACCGTTTGGGTGGTTCAACATCGGCGGCTCCTTACATACACAGCTGCATAGACGCCGCCACGTCAAATGTAATACCCGCCTGCTGGCTGTGTTCGACCTCATGTATGTTCTTCGCCTCGTCAAGCAGACGAGGCATTGCGCGCGATATTGTCACAACTTCTGCACAATGGTCCCGTCAGCGCAGCTGGCGGATCCCTACAGGCGTAGGCACACGCCTCCATACCTTGCTCTTACAAGGCGGGTGCGTTGACGCGCCGCTTCTGGTTGTTCGGCATGCTATGGTCGTTCGCGGGTCGAAGAGGGCATGTGGCAGTGATTGAACTAGACCCAGCCGCTTCAAACGGTTCGCAAAACGGGTGCGGCAACTTGTAAGGAACGCTTGCAAAGCCTTTCTATGCAGGCCGGGCCAGAGAAACCAGCTCCGATCGGGGAGATGGTGATGGTGAACCCTGCTAATAACCTTCTGTTAGCAGGAATGGCGACTCGGTGTCATATCATGACACAGTGGGGTGGTGATAAAGCGTGCAGGAGACTTCCTTATAAAGACTGGAGGTCTATACGGCACTTGCCTAGAGTTTTGCAAATCTTTTTTGCCGGAGTAGCAGGAAAGTGCGTGGCAGTGCATGCCTAGGAATGCTTGTGTGATGCATCCCATGCCTCGGCCTCGAGCACACAAGCAGTTGGCGCAGTACAGTTCTCTACAGGTTCCCCTGCTGGATAATGTTTGGTGGCCACAGGAAGCTAATTGCGACGTGTACTTATATGCAGCAGCAGCAGCTTTCAAAGACACAAAATAAAAAGAAGTCGCGCCGACGCAGCCCTGTTCACGTACATTTCGTGCCCTACTGCAATCCGTGTAGTTGTCTTTCTTCACCCAACTTTCTGCAGGCCTTGAGTACGTACTGATGAGGCACGATTGGGGGCACGTTTGGGGCCACGATTGCAAGCAAGCAACCCTTATGTATAGAGGTCATCACTCTCGCTACACGAAACGGCCCACCGCAACGTACATCGCGGGCCCGCAATGTACTTGCCAAGCCAAACCCGATTGAAAACGAATCCTTTTAGCTCACCACATACAGCTTTGGCTGCTGTGTGTACTTCATCGAACATGTCGATAAGAGTCATACAGCAAGTAGGGTTTGTTTCCGCACTTCCAGTCTTTTCCTCAAACCTTGGGAGCATCCGATGCTTCCAAGAAATCTAGGTTAAACAGTATGGTTATGATTGCGAGAATCAGGCAAAGCTTGAGTGATTAAAGACACTTGACAGGCCGGCCGTCTTCGGGTCACCTAACACACAAATGGCTAAAGCTGCTTCGTCACGCACATCTCCCCATGCACACAAACATTTTTCGCAAGGAATTCAGTTAGAAATCAAGTGTGCGGCTAGGAGGGACATTGCCTTCGCTATTTCGAATCGCCTTAGGCCAGCAGACCCTCCGCGCCAAGTCACAGATCCATGAAGCGAGGCCAACGAAATAAGTTATGATCACTTTCACGCTGAGTATTTGTGTTGTGTCCCTGTCAATTGCTACCTGAAGTAGTTCAGTCCGCTTCCTAGAGGGTGCCGAAACACGAACCGTTAAAACCATGTACAGTATTTCGGTTATATGAATCCGTTACAGATCTAAGCAAATAGGATATAATAATAAAAAAGTAATTTTCACTTGCTTGGGGCGAAAGTTGCGCTTGGTGACGAGCGATTTCTTATTATAAGTGTTCCGGGACCGACCTTGGCCCGGTGCACTTTTGCATCATCGCCGATCAGTTGGCGCCTTCGGCAACGCTCTCGGCGAGCCTTGTTCCACATGGTAACATTTTCTTCCAAATACAGAGGACGTGGAGTGGTAATCAGCACATGCAGCCCGTTCTCCTTCCGAATGATGAGTAATTTCCCTACCACCGCACGCATATAATCTATAAAAGCCTCAGAACCTTAGCTTTATCATACATTCCTTCAAAACATGCAACCCTACGAAGTCAAGCCTCGTCAAGTATTTCAGCAACGTTAAGGCGCGGCATTTCCACGTACGTGCTGATATGCATCAACTGCCCCCCGCAACCTGATGTTCGAACGGCGCCATAATGTATGGCCTCCCCTTTCCGCCACCCCCCACCGTCCCTCACCTGGCCATCTGACGGGCTCAGTCCCAGCCTCTCCCTGAGCTCGGCGGTGATGAGCGCCCCGCTGCTGCCGCTGTCCAGGAGGAAGTTCACAAAACCAACATCCTCCACGTCTGGAGCGGATGGGTAGGTGCGAAGGTAAGAGGCGAGGAAGGAAACAGCCACGACGGAGAGGGGTAGAGTTGTGCCAAGTAAGGAGCGAGGGAAGAGGGAAGGAAAGTAAGGGGGGTAAGGAGGAGGAAGGAGCAGCTACCACAAACACACGCGTATGTAGTACATAACATACATACGATACAGGGACACATGCATGGGAAGGCAACGGATCGAGGGATCAAGGGATGGGTAAATAAACCCTCGCATGGAAACCTCGCTGCGGCCGCAGGATGCCCCGCCGACGGCAACACATCCGACGGAGTGCACCAAGCAGAATTACCGGGAGGGAAGGCAGGCACTGATCCAGGAGTTTCAGTCCCTTTTTCCTTTTCCTCCTCCACCTCCTTCCTCCTCCGCCCTCCTCCGCCCTCCTTTCCCTCCTTTCCCCCGGCCACCCTTACTCGGATTTCCATCGGGAACCATCAGGACTACGCTGTCCCCCTCTTCATCACATCTCCTAACTGGTCCAAGCTTGGGCCTCCATCTCCGAATCCTCCGAGATTGGGATTGAGCACTTTGCCCAGCACTGCCCGGCAATACACGCCCATATGGACATGCGGCTGGCGGCAAGCAGTGACCGTGCGAGTACTGGCGTCTATCTTCAAGAGATCCTCGGGTCGACCGACCCCGAGCACAAAGCCTCCATATTTAGGGATCTCCATGCCACCCAGCTCCTGTTTTAGGAAGACCTCGTCCTGAAGGGGAAATTTATATGGTTGACGGTTGACGGTAGGCAGTTGACCAGCCGTCAGTTGACAGTTAATATTTTCTATTTGGTCGTTGACGGATGGTCAAGTGGGGGGATAAGAGGTGGGGATAGGTGTAGTAGCTGGCCGCTGAAAAGGCCTCTCGAGATGCTGGTGGTCGCGCTTCGCGCGTATTTGCAGAGCCGTACTGTGTACCAGCTACTACAATGGGGGTGTATACTGTTGTACAGCATCAATGGGTTTTACTGATTTGCCGGTACATTCTAGATGCGCCCAGATCTTGCATTGAGGAAGCGCCATCCGAGATAGGCAATTTCAGTAGAAGGCGGTTGACAGTAGGTCGTTAACAACCGATAGTTGATAATTTGGTATTGTGTGATTGGTAGTTGGCAGATGGTTCGGTGCGGGGATTGCGGTATGTGTAGGGTGGAAAAATGTTATACAGCATCAACGGTTTTTATTCACAGGGCCGTACAGCCTATAGATGCGCCTAGCTCTTGCGGCCTCATCCTGGAGGTCCCAAACATCGCGGAAGGTAGCTAGGGACTACCAGGCTAGTGGCCACGGGTGAAGCTATAACCCCCTACTTCACACAATCATACAGACGTACATGTGCGCGACAGGCGGTGTGCCCTTTGGCTCGGTTTCTTTGCCTTACGGTATAGAAACTTGGTAGCCCGCTGTAATAACAAGACGAAGAAGAAAAGCCTAAGTCCTCGTCCGTCCAGGACATGCCCGTCGCATAGCAGCTCGTCTTGTACTGAAAGGCGGTGTCGTCCCTCGCTTTTGGGGCGGGTCTACAGACCAGAGACACTTTCTTATCCATCAACGTTTCCGCGTGCATATTACCAAGGTGTCACACACAGTCGAACACAGACTTGCCAACGTCATCATCACTGCCTCCGCAACTGCTGCTTCATCGTCACCGCGCTGTCACCGCCGCCATGATCTCCGCCATCGCAACCAGCGCCGTTGCAGCTACATATCTACAGCTTGCTGGAACGAGCAGATGTCTTCTGCTTGTTGGAGCTGCGCTTTTGTGGCAGGGACAGCGGGCCAGAACAGAAAGCCAACACATACAGGAGGTCGAAATCTCCCAAGAACGCAAGGCTGTCATACCTTTACAAAGAGGCATCTTATTACTCGCTGTCACGGGTAAGGTGACAGAGCTCCTTCCACTACGACAGCCACCGACGAAGCCGGCAAATACCAGTCTGAAGTGTGCGCGCTACCTACCCGCCGCCAGGCAGGTAAGGCAGGCCAGACCAAAGTCGGCTCTCTGCTGCCGTGGGCGCCTCCACACACAGTTTCCTGCCTGTGGCTGTTGGAAACAAAAGATGTAAAAGTCTAAGGAGGACGGACGGCGGACAGCAAGCCGCGAGCATCTTTCTGTAGGCCACTATATCCACTTCAAGGATGGAGTGCCTGCCCTAGAGGTGGTCGATTTTCTAAAGTGAATCTATAAAATATGGAGAATGATCGGAAGGAAGAAGGGAAGGAAGGATGCAGACGTGAGGCTTTCAGGCTTGTGGTATGGAAGCTCGTTCCACGACGCAAGCGTTTTTGCCATGTGGGCAAACGTCTTGGCCGCAAGTCTCTAGATCTGATCAGTTTAAAAACCCTTAGGAACGGAAACATAAATGTCGAGCGCTTAGCTTTTGCGCAAACCAAAGTAGCCTTGTCGCGACCACGCCGCAGCCCTGGGCGGCCCAACTGCAGGTGATGAAGTCCCTGTGCGCTGAATCATTATGTATCCACTCCCTACGCTTATTAACCACACCTCGTCTCGCAAGTCGGCCCGCTGATGCGCGATTTAGTCTGTGGGGCATCACCTTGCAAGCTTCAGCTAGTAATTGACAGGGCTCTGCTGTCGCAAGCTATCGAAAGCTCGCAAAGGGTTGCCACAGAAGCAAAATGTGCCAGACTGTTCACAGCAAACGCCATGCTAGCAGATCCAGTGCCAGCCTGGGATTTGAGATGAAGGCAAACGGAGCGCTTGGAATGGCGAATAGTATTATGCAACGTGTCCGTGTGTGCTTAAAGAGGGAAAATAGTTCGGCTGCTGTAATGGTTGGGGGAGAATAAGGCCCTTGCTTGCCTCCCCAGGGCGACCATGGTGGTTTGAGCCTGAGCGATACACAGATGATCCTCAGTGTGAATAATAATAGGAGCGCTGAGTTAAGCTGAAAAGCTTAGGCCGCCTCGAGCGTTAAGTCTTTCCCAGTGGTACTTGCTGAGATTCCAGCAAGCACTACTTGTACCACGTGAAACAATTTGTATTATTATGCTTTAATTAACATGTTTTCGTTCGTTGAGGCGTTGCTCACGTTCCCTTCAAGGTTTTATGCCGGGCGATGTATATAGACCACGACGCAGAAGTATAAATCCAACATCAAATTATTGTATGTTCATGTTATGTCATTTCTATTGCTGTCAGTTTATTGGCCTCAGGACTTGGACCATGGACTCCTTCCGTGAAGCGCTGAACGTGGAAACGCGCCAGATCTTTACAATAAGATAATAAATTAGTAACTGTCTACTTGTTTTGTGAAAACTAATGCGCACGTATGATGAAAATTGCATTGGTTGACGATTGATCAGGGTCTTGTGCCGATTCAAGTTCAGCGGACATTCGATGCCTCCGCGAGCTCCCAATTATGCCATGGACTATATTATACATAAATCCAGATAATCCCTTGGGTTTCGTAAATCACAGCAGCCTTAAACGGCTGCTGAGCTTGCTAGGGCAATCTAGGGCCCGGCAATGCCCAGCAGAGACCAACCACGAGGCGCTTTATTAGTTAGAAAGTATCGTTAGCGCAGTCGTCAAGGAGTCGGGGCGTGTTGCAGAGGTATCGCTCGCAGAGTTCATTCTGGAATTCACATGTCGCCTGCCTTTGACAGTGACATTATTCAGTGCTTACCTGTATGTCATTGTTTCACCAAACAGATTTGAATGTCTGAGTTGCTACATCTTGTGGACTTGTTTTGTGAAGCTTTTGGGATGCGACCAAATGTCTCAAAGTGTGAAAGGCTTGTTTTTGCATGTGATGGCACCCAGCAGTCGGAACTTAGCGGGAGATGTCAACAGTTACGGCTATCAGGCCAGGTAGTACCTGCCAAAGATAGCGCTCGCTATCTGGGCTTGGTATATGGGCCAGAACGGCCTTTTAGTGCGTGCCGTCAGCAGTTGTTGTTGTTGTTGTTGTTGTTGTTGTTGTTGTTGTTACATGGTCGTGGGTGCGTTCCCCGTACCTGCAAACCACCCTAGTACGAGCCGAGGGCTCAAGGGCTGCCAAATCGCCTATAAGCACCATCCTACCTCGCACTTCCAACGAAACAAGTAATGAAGTATACTAACGACCAAAGGGAACGATAGAGTTGCGGTGAGACCATATACGTTCCAGCATTCTTGCCAGGCGTCCAGGTTCCCACTTCATAGCGTCCTTCATATGTTCGAAGCGTGGAAAGCCCATATCAGATCTGATTCCGTCGTAAACCGGACAGTCCAGCAAAATGTGTTTCTCATCCTCGATGTGGCTATCAGTGCCGCAGCAGGGGCATACTCGCTCCTCCCTAGGTATATAACGCCGTCCCTTACGCGCTCTGTT